AGCATAACTTAGCCGGAGTAGGCTCGTTGTTAAGACAGACCATAAGAAATTGGATTTGGCCAGTATTGCATCTTTCACAAACGGGCGTGCTTGATGCAACCAATCTATGAAAGCTTTTTTTTTATCAAAAGTAGCGTATTTGTCAAATTTTTAAGCAATATAAAAAGCCTTGGTGTCTTAATACTCATATAGCTAAATTCTAACGATGTTTTTCAGCAATGAAGAAAGGTGGGCTAAAAATAAAAAAATAAAAGTAGATCAAACTACACCTAACGCAGAAAATATTAGCCACAATTATATTATATTATATTCCCAATCACGCAAGAAATAGAAATTATAATCATTTTACTCTGCCTAAGCCCGTCGACTTTCGCTACCCATAGCCCAAACTTTTTTAGGTGGGGAAATACCAAATATAGCGGTCTGTTGACATAGGATTTGTCTAAAAATTAAAGAACTTTGACATCGAGGACTGTTTAAGTTGTATTTTCCTTTAAAAGCTGTTAAACTTTTACTGATAACAATATTGCTTAAATTATAAAAGCTTCTTTATTCATTAAATATATGATAAGAATTAGCTAATAACTAAAAAGAGGTTGGATCTTATTAAATAAACACAAGTAAAGTTTGTTGTTCGAGATCAGTAAGTTTTAGCGTAATAACGCACGATCATAATTGTGGAAACAAGGTAATGAAACTCTAGCAATGCAGCAAAATTAGTGGAACTTCATCAACTTCCTCATTACGTTGAATTGTCAACACTGGTCACTAAAACTTGCTGTTCGCAGGACCTGCAAATGAAGTGCCATTATCCAGCCTAAGTTTAAAAACATATTTAAGGCTCATCTAGAATAGTTCTTATAGATTTTACAGTTTTTCTTTTATGTAACTTTATTGCATTTAATTGTGGAATGTGTTCATTATATTAACTATAAACACAGTCTCGAAATTAACCACAATCCAAAAGAGGCCACACCACTGCTGGGTGTGATTAACCCGTTATCAGGGCGCATGTTCGACACTACCCCTTACCCTTCTGGCGGGTAAGTTGTTCAGGACACTTTAGATCACTAAACTAGGGTAGAGCTCAGAGGTCACCAAGAGTCGGGCCCCCTCTCTTCCTCTAAGCCCCTCTAGATCCAGAATCCTCTTGAACTTAGCTCCCATGCGAGCTCAAAGGTTCAGATGTCTATCTCTTTCCTATGACTTTCTTGACCCTAGGAACTCCATAAACTCGTCTGCCTCTGGAATCGGGCCGTGCCCTCGCAGAGCGTTGGGCTCTTAATCTGTAGAAATTAACCGCAACCCCAAAAGAGGACGCCCTACAGTGGGATAATCCGTTGTAAGTGTACACGTTCGACCACAGTAAAAATAAAAGAATTGTAAAGCATGCTTTATAGGCGAGTCCATAAGTAAAAAAGCTTTAGACGCATAAAATAATTTTTTAAACTTTATTCTATATAAAGATTTTAAGTATATTAATTTATATTATACGAATAAATTAATAATAGTATTAACTGACAAAAAAAGTTATAAAAAGCTTAATTTTTTAACTTACTTTCAGTGTCTTTCCACCCAATTTGTAAACTTGTGTCCTTGGACCTGATTGATGGGACGTGTTTGAATTATAACGTCCCATTCGTTATTGTTGACTTAGTTAATAACCATTTTGGATAAAACATTTGGAAAACTGCTATAAATAGTTTATATTAAAGTAACCCAAAGAAGGCAATCCCTATAAAAAAGGTAATAAACATTAGATTCGACAGGATAATGTTAAAATAATTGAGTGCAATTTACCCTCACCTCGGTTAGTGTAGAAGATAATTTGTTAAAATGAAATTTAGTTGTGTTTTACCTTGTTAAAGAAAATTTTATATATATTTAGTTTTCAGCAATAAAATTTGCCTGGGGAAATGAAAGATGCAATTTATGGATAAGCTTTTAAAAGACCGTGACAAGCTTGGATGGTTTTCTGCGGCGATTATTTATTTTATATTTCTCTGTAATTTTGCTAGTAAGCCCTATTTTAAAATTTTAAAATTTATTTTAAATGTATTCTAGTGATTTACCTACCCCTTTTCCTTTTTGCTGCTGCCGTACAAACGACTTATACCCCGTTCGAAACCATAGCAACGGAGGTTTCATACAAGATTTTATATATTATATACTCGCCAACCTCGTTAAAATATTGTGGTCGATATTATTGTTAATGTCATCATTAAAATGTTACATTAATTTTTTCTCTCAAAAGTTTTTAATTTAATAGATTACGCCTAAGATAGTTAGCAAATGTGGAAATGTAGATTCAGTTGTTAGTGATCAGTTTCAGATAGGTTCAGGTATTATTTTTTAAACAACTAAACCCCAATTGCGTTGATATACTTTTAACTATCTTACCATCAAAAGGAGAGATAAGAAATTCGCTATCGAATAGGAGACAGTTCTCAGACTCATTTATTTCTTATTTTGGCATCTCCCGCTCTTTTATTTCGACAATGCTACAACTAGGGATGGTATTACTAATCTATTAATTATTACAGAGACTCCATATAGTATAGTTTGTACGTTCAGTATTAACAAAGTAAATAATAAATTTTCTAAATAGATCTAGGAGATAGGATTATTAAGATGTATAATGATTTAACAAACGGACAGCAGGATGTAGTTATATGAAAAGTACATAATATTCACTTAAGAATTTACTTCCTACTAGATTGGTACCGTAAAGAAATATTTTACTGACCGCTACCTGAAAAAAGCAGGCTCAAGTGTAAACTGGTTGAATCATTATACTCTATCACTTTTAAAAAGCCAAGAAACAATGCAAAAGTAGTATATCCAAAAATAATAACTTTTATGAATGGAAGTTATTGATTTCTAGATTTTTAAATACTTACGACGTGGAATTTCTGAGAGAATTGGAGGAAAAACCTGTAAATACTTCAAATATGTTAGAAGATGCTAAAAAATTTTACGGGAATTTTTTCCGTAAGTTTCGTTATCTTGGCTCGATTGAGTTCTTAGTATCTTCTTTTTAGCAACACGTTGCCAATTTGGCCCGTATAAGCAAGCGTTTGAAACATTACAGGGTGCTATGGGAATAATATTAGATGACCATGGCAAAGCAACTTACAAATTCGCGGTTAGAGTTTTTATTATATGATTCTTTTTACCCTGAAAAAAATGAACTAATAAACATTTTTAAATACTATCAGCTTCCAATGGTCACATTAAACTTAATAGTTGCCATTCTTTTCACTGTTTTGGTGATTATGAATAAAAAAGAAATAGAAATACGCTCCAGACAGTCAACCTTTTTAATACATCTTTTTGTATCTGTGGTCCTTACTGCCCTGACAGCCTTTTTATTTGGTTAGCTTTTATTAATGACTATTAGTAAATTATAAAATAATACAAATTAGTTGAAAATAAGATGCAAAAAGTTTAATTACTACCATTAACGAACATATATGCATGTATATATAGCGGCTACAGGGGTACCTTATAGGCCACCTGTTTTGTCCCCAATTTGGGCAACCCTCCTTCTCATATTTTTTCTCTCCTCGCTCTCCGCTATAAATTGTCGCCAAAGGTTGATGCATGTTTTGTTTAACCTTCCAGAAAGAAGCTACTCATATTTTTTTCCTTGGTGGTACCATTCTATAGTAGTAAGCCTCGTATTATACTATTTGCGATGGCCTCAAATTCTTATTAAAAAAAATATATTACCTTACGTTTAAGATAGTAGCTGCCGGTTTTTTCTGCTTCTCCAGTCTTTATGTGCACTGGCTTAATCATATATTTTCTTCATTTGCTATTACCTACGGCGTAATTTTAACTGCAGGAATTTTTTTTTTAGCAGGTAAGCTGAACTAGTTATATACTATAACCTGGTTGCCGTAATTTTACTTAATACACAGAAAATTTTTGTTACTTAATATTGACGAGAAAGTGCTGGTTTATGTTCGTGGATTATTATTACAATATTCGCATTTTCCTTCTTTTTGGGGTGCTACTAATCCCCATGACAAGTATTGTTATTGCGCACCCGCGGGTCTACCAATTTCGGTTTCACGTAACATTTACTAGAATACACATATCGAGCGCTTTCAGTAATAAATAACCAATATATAATAGACATCTGTCTCCTTCTTCTATATAAGCTTTGTGACGAGTTGCTACCTCGTAGATTCTTATACATTGCCTTTAATTAAGATATACTTAAGAAGAGTAGGAAATCCATTATTTAAAGACGTACTTATCTGTATATGGCCCATATTGGTCTGTAAAAAAAATGTCGGGCTGGTGCTGATATAATTTAAAATTATTAGGTGGATTTTATAGCACAAAATAAAATAATTGATGTGGAACAGATTATAGCTGATCAAGAACTTCGTTCTTTGTTCGTGGACTACATTAAAGGTAATACTGTATGCTCCTGATATAAAATCGTATCATCTCTTAACAGCGGTAAGTTAAGAAAACGGTTAAGAGGTAACTTAATGCCAGAACAACATTTGCAATCCCTCAAATGCTTAAATTGCATGCATGCAAATGACTTTGAGCTCCTCGCCTAAAAAGGAGGAGCTCAAGTCGGGGAGCCTTCGCTGGCAGTGGCGCTGGCCAGTGTATCCGGGGGACCTCGGGTTTTGTACCTAAGGCAGCCTCTCCTGGTGGTGGTTCTAACGGTTTTCCACCATGCTATGCCGATGGCGGAAGTCCGGGCCCCATGTTCTCCGCTTTTTAGTCCTTTGGGACAGTCATTATAGTTCTATAAGAAGGGTACACTGGCGGTCACACGTGCCCCAACCCCTGCGGAAGAGGGGAATTCGGCTTAAGGTCTGAAGAAAACTGGCTTTAGTATGCCAGTGCTAAAAAAAAATATTGCAAAATGTATTTAATAACTTTTGAACATTCCATTTTCATTAATATTTTTGGCATAGTTTAAATAACTGGAAATTCTTTTTGCGTAAACAGGTTTCCATTCAGAGGAAAATGTAAACTTTGTTGTGGGATACTATGACCTTGTCAACAATAATACTGAAATGTATATGAAAGACGTGACTTCGTTATATAATAAATTTATTTCTAGGGGTACCCCTCAGCAATTTGTTAACTGTCACAAAAATTTACCCTGTTTAATATCATTGACGACATAGATGCCCCTCAGGAGCTTAACTTAACTTCAAAAACTCTAAATCACACTACTAGTGGCTACCAATACTTACCTCAAGACACCCACAAAATAACAACATCTCTGGTATTATTATACTTTTCAATAGAAATTTGTTAACTTTATAACTATGCTTTTGTGACAGTTTTCAGAAATCTTTCGACCAGCTTACGATGAAATAATTACCCTCTTGACACAAAACTTTTTTAAGGACTTCATTGCAACCCCAACCGTCGTTAACTTACTCAATCAAAGAGGAAAACATAAATCTGTAGTGGAGTATTTTGAAACTAAAAAGCGACCACAATCCAGTATACCTCAAGGTAAAAGTAGGATGACACGATACTGATTTAATTTTTACCATTTGTCTTTTTTAGAATCTGCGTCTTCAAGTCCTGGCTTGGGTAATACGACAACGTTTTTTATCAAGCAATAAACTTGTGAGAGAACAGCTACTACCTTTCATATTATTGCTATATTAGAGTGGACGTTGTATGCTAGCACTATGCTTAGCTATAATATGTTCCTTACTTTGTATGAAAGATTAAAGAATTTTTAGGTTTTACTAGTTGTTACTCGACATTGTATTATACGTTGAAAGCCATTTTCTTATTACATTGAAAAAAAAGTATTCCAAGTTAGCTTTTAAGTACCTGATAATTAAAGTTAAGAAAGTTTTAATACAAATGCTTAAGTAGTCGTACATATTTAATCGTAGATTTTTTTTTTAAAACTTGGCTTCTAACGCTTGTTTTTTCCTTACCACTTTGGAATAAAATAAATAACTATCTTATAGACAAAAAATGGACTTGAAGTGCTTCCTCAAAATATAGTTTATGGCTTTTACTATACTTTCTTTTTATATATTTAAAGAGCTATACTTATGAAAAAAAGACATTCTTTTTAGAAAGAAGTTTTACGGGTTGATAAAAACACTTACTAACTACAAATCCTTTTTATTATAACGGAAAATAAACTTCTTGCCTATTTTCTTGTCTGGTACTTTAATAATATGCTGCTGTTAACTTGGGTGTGCTAAAGTTGTAAGTATACATAATAGGTTTTTTTTAGTTTTGGATCTTTAAGTTCTTATATCTTTAGCAGCCACCAAGGACAAGTTTTTATAAAAGTTTACTACTTTTAAGCAACAGTTGGTGGCAAAAAATTTTAAAAGGGCCAAAACAAATTAGTAATTATTTTTAAAGCTTTTATGATGTTTGTCCTTCTCTCTGGATACCTTTTTCTTAAAAAAACTAATTTTTTAAATTTTGTAAATATTTGATAACGTCACAGCACAATCCTAGTGGTTCCTCGGGTAAAAAACGTAGTTGGCAAAAAATTTTGGCTTCTAAGTTTGTATAGGTTCATAGAAAATTATTCAAGGTATCTAAATACCGTAGTATATTGCTGAGTCCTTGTTTTGCAGGTAAAAACTGTTTTCCAGATGTTTGAGCTTTTAATTTTTTTTTGTACATTTGCTTTGCTAACTTTTTCCTGTCTCAACTAATCCTGTTGAATGGGTCCCTCTGAGCTTCAAAATCTCCGAAAGTTTGACTGTGGCCGGGATAACAGGGGCATTAAGCTGTAACAAAGTTTCGAGTCGAACGACGTTAGTTTTATTTAAACGGGAAAGAGCTTTATTACGGGTCTGAACTTTTACATTGCACTTGGTACATGATCTCCTTTATACTTTGTTCGACGTTATAAACTAGTTCCTTTCAATTATATTTAACATTTCTTTATTGGTGTTAAGAAAAATGTTTTTTCATATAGTAAATTTTGATAATGTGAGTACACGTAAATATAATTGTTTGGCTCAACTTGTAATTTTTAACTGGATTTAACCAATGTTTATCTAGTATTTGTACAGCCTTAATAATTCTTATAAAAAACAATTTTTGTTCTTAAAAAGTTTTTAAAATATTTTTATAAATAAAAGGCCTTTGTTATCTACTATTGTAAATGCAACTCTATTTATAACAAAAATAATTAAAAAATATTACATACATTTGAATTGGTATTTTTAAATGTTTTTGCTGCTACAACTGTTAAGAAATTATTGGTGTTATTTTATTTTTTATACATTGGTGGCATAGGTAGCAATTACTTATAAATTTCATAAAGAGAACCTTTTTTACGAAAATTCTGTTTGCGTAGTTTTATAAAGGCTTCCATATTAAACAATTTTATAAGGCAAATCTTAAAATACTGCTAAAGAACCAGTTTTTCGTAAGCGAAAAAGCTCTGCACATTTTATATTAATTTTTATTTCCTTCAAAGTTAATAACAATCCTATTAAATTAAGTGAGCGTTTTTTTTACTTTTATTATAGCCAGTTATAGAGTGTAACAGTGATTGTCTTAATAATACTCTATTGCATAGATGTCGTTTAAAATGCTTCCTTAATAAGGAGTATAAAATTTGTACTGGTCTACTAAGATTTACTCAGGTGATAGCAGAATATTTCGTTCGGGTCGTAAATAGAATTAAAGGTTACAGCACTGGTCCTTGCCCCAAGACTCAGTGGATCCTATTTTTTTAAGGAAATGTGCTACTTTACAAAGACTGTTTCACTTAAATTTCGGTAAAAAGTAGTGAATAACTGTTTTATATAGTTGTCTTAACAACATTTCCATTTTAACGGACAATTTTTTATTTAATTTATGGTTGCATATGATCACATAGCTATTAAGAATGATACGTTCTAATCATAGTATAGGATTTCTTTAATATTTACCACAGTGTGGTATGTGGGCATGATACTTAAAAAGCTTTTCATCTTGATATTAATAACAATTGAAAGCTATTGCCAACTTTGTGATTTAAGCTGTTAATATTTAGAGAACCGTAAAACTTTTTATAGTATTCATAACTCGATAGAGGCTAACGCTGACTTTCATGGTTAGCCCTCTTCCATCCACCTATTTAATAATCAAGCCGGTCCGGTGTTTATTCTTTCTGATATTGTCATACTTTAGTTACCAAAAAAAAAATAACTTGGACCACTTAATCATATTCTCTTTACAATAGTATTAATGCTCTCATCTCTTTAAGAACATCAATTATTAATAATTAGTATATATATATAAATATATATAATTTTATACAGATGAAGAGGGTTATTTATCACCTCGACGACTAATACTATTACTACTACAATTGCAATTACCGTTATTTTATGACCTTTTATTAACAATATTATATTTCTTAATACTATATACTTCATTTGAAGTAAAATCTTAGGGGTCATTATATTTAGCTGGAAAAAATAAGCTTTAGGCTTCTGTATGTAGTATAATTATTCGGATCATAAAAAACCGTAGCTATGACTATTTACTTTTGTGGGCACTCAAATCAACCCCTCAAATCAGTTTGATAGCTGTTCAGGAATGGTGGCAAGCTAACTTTATAGTCTTAATAGAGAGTAGAATTGTGGTAGGTACAATCGTAAACATAAAACCAAAAAATCTAATTCATATAAATTGTAAGTACAAATTTTTTTTTTAATAATTTAAGGGTAGAACCAAGGGACAGAGGCTTTAAAGAGAAGCAGCTTAACTTAGAGATGGTGTTTGCTTTTTTAAAGGTAAGAAAATGCAGTGCTTTTCTTAAAGTTTCAATGTCTGTGGCTACGTAGTCATTATGAGCTTCCAGTTTAGTTTATTACCCCTAATATTGATATTTAAAAAGGTTTTTAAATATCTGCTAATTTTTGAACACGTCTTTTCGCGAATAGCAAGGCTGTATGTCTTAAAACGTTAGTGAATATCGCTATTTGGCTAACTAATATACAATTTCATAATATAAAGCTGCATATGTTAAGTGCTAACTATAGGGACTTTGAACTTCTAGCAGAGGTTATTAATAAGCCATAAAAACCGCTCCTCAGTGTAGTTATATTGAAGCGTAATAAAGTTAGATAAGAACTCTTGTGGAGACCCACATCAAACTTTTTAATTGACTTTCGTGACTCAGTTATAGCAGTAAAAACTTTTTTTTAAAAAGAAGATGGAATATATAAGCAAAAAACTCGCTAGTTATTATTTTGTACATAAGTTCGTAGTTAGCCACTCATTAAAAGGCTTTTTACAGATGCAGGATGTTTGCAACATTAGAGAATTAGAAATCTGTTCAGCAACAAAAATTGCTGGTCGTTAAATATTTTCTTTTTAATTCAACTAGAAATTCAAAGATAACGTACTCCCTTAACGTAAATTATGCGGCCTCTAAAAAATTTTTAGATGGAATTAAAGACACTAATTTTCTGTAATGTTATACTACAAGCCGCTTTGGTACCATATAACATCTTGAGTACTCCTTTGCACATGCAATATCAAGCCTATGCTTATTTACCCTTTCAAATTCTAGTCATAGTATTCGTTAACATACTATTGCATCGTAGTTCTTACCAAATTGCTATTTACCTTACGGTAGATTTGATTAATGTTTTACACTTTGCCTAAAACTTTAAGATTGCGATAACTTATTGCCCGCAGCTAATTTAAGGGTATCAGGTATTATATAATAACTATATAGTAAAAATTATAGGAGAGTTCAAAGTCTCTTTTATTATATAGTAATAATAACTGAGACCATTTAAGTTGGTTTACTTAGTAGTGCGCTTACTAAATTAGGTTTTTATATTCCCCCTTTTCCTTAGATTTCTTACTTTTTTAGAACAAGTTACTATAAGGTAAGAGCCTCAGAGCTTAATATTAGGTATATTTATACATGAAAAAAGTTATTATAGACGTATTAATTTTTTTAGCCAAAGAAATTTGTTATAAGAAAAGCAAACTTATTAATAAGCAATGACTACAAACTTTAGCGCATTCTTCATATATGTTTGTAAAAAATCTGCAAACCCACTTTTTTAGTTATTAACCGACTTCCATTTTTATTTTTTGAGTTCATAAACATAACTTTCGGAAAGTTTTTATAAGGTTGCCTTTAAATTTTAGTAAGTGTAAGCTGAATCGGGCAGATAGTTATAAGGGGATTATAGATTCGACATTCTAACTTTTATTAAAAAAATATTTTTTTTTTACATTTTAGCATGAAGAATATTTTAGCATTATCGATACGTCTTGAACGCTAAATTCTTTTTAAAATAATGTTTTGCTGTTACTATGGGAGCCATAAATAAAGATAGCTGTTTTCCATTAATTAACTACATTTATAGTAGTTTTTATGCGCTAAAGTAAAATATTTAATAAGTATTTTTTTAATATCTATGAATTAGAAAAAAGGAGAGAGTGCTAATAAGAGATCAATTCTGCAAACTTTATCCAAATAAAATTTATAAAACCCTTTTAAGTCATTGTTAGCTGCAAATACACATTTGTAACCATTGTTGACAGCTGAGCTTTTCTTGTAGATTTGAAGCAATTAAGACATCTTTGTAGATGCTAATGAAAGGGAAGGAGAAGAGTATAATATAGAAGCCGTTTT